CTGACACTCCAGCTCGCTCACCATAATCACGGTATAATTCTTATGCTGATCCCGAAAGCCATGAGAGCCCATTAAAATGCCAATAGAAACCCAGAAGGGTGAGAGAGTCATGAGAGCGGGAGAACGGGAAGCTTGCCTCAGCTCTAGTTTAAGTAGACACGCAGGTGTTACTCTACAGGGAAATTAGTGCCATGTCAAGGGGAATTAACCTTTTAAGCGATGCAGAGCTTTAGCTGCCTTAAGAATAGTTATTGTGTCCTGTTCTGGTAAGTACAAGCGGTCTTAAGATGAGAGAAAATAATAGAACCTCGCTGATCCTAACCCTGCAGGACAGAGGAACTTTATATCTCTCTTTATAACTCTTATAATGAGCGGTGTTGAAATACATCTACATGCAAATCCAAATCAAAGCTCAAACCGTGTAGTAAGCTGATAAAAGAGACATTTCCCTTCATGTTTCTTCCCTAATGTCTGTGGAAAATGTAAAAATCAGACTTAGCGGTGTTAGTCCTGCTAATCAAAGCGCTAACTTGATATACCAAATTTAACTCCAAAGCCAATCATACGGGCGCCTGCTGGATAATCTTTCTCACACAAACAAATGCGTGTCTATACACAAACACACACATACATAGCAAGCTACACATATAAAATTAAACCGACAAATACTTGCACACAAACCAGATGTAAACACACACCGACATACTTTGTGCCGTGATTTTTAGCATGCAGTGGAGCCTGAACATGTGAGTGGATTTACAGATGGAAAATAACACACGCACAGGCAAAGGCCCTGCCTTGACTTCTGCATATAAACACTAATTCAACCAGCCAAAGAAATACCTCTCTCTCTCTCTTCCTTAACACACATTCTCTCTCTGTCTCTCTCTATCTGACCTGTGGTAAGTAGTCTGTAGTGGCTTGCAGTGGTTCTCCTCATGGACTGAAAGAGAGAAATGCATGACAAGATCTGATAAGACAAATAGAACTGTTCCCCAAACTCGCTTAGCCACCCACTTAGGATGTGTGTTTGTTCTCCTGCTGCATTCTTAATATTTTCTAAACCCTCCCTCTCTCTTCCTCTTTCTCCCCATTGAGGGGTGTTTAGGCCTCAATTATTCTCAGGCGCCTGTTTGTGCCGTTTAAAAGCAGCTTCAGTGGCTTGATAGCTCATAAGGCTCGTTGGCTGTAAAAGCACAGAACACACAACTTCTCTGGCAGGGCAAAAACATAAAAACGAAGGGTGGAAACAATTTGAAGTAAATGCAAAATTGAGCATTTAGCTTCCTCTCTGTCCGTAGTGGTGAAAAAAGTAGGACGGTTTGCAAGCACTACAGGTGCTCCCACGTCTTCAGTGAATCTCAGGCATCACTGAATGTTACTGACCTCATGACAGAGCTTGTAAAATAGTTGTTTTTTAATTCACTGACGCAACCCAGGCTTTTGCCAACAGTCCAACCCACCTCTTTCTTTTTCTCCGCTTTCTGTTTTTATCTATCACTCCTCTGCCACTCCCCCATCTCTCTCCTCCTCCTCTCTCTGGGTCAGCGGGCCCCGTGAGGGTCACTCGCTCTTTATCCCATTGCCATTAAAGAGGTCTATATTTCTTCACAACCACTGATTGCAGACAGGGCTCAGATGGGCTGTAAGGGTTAGCGCTAGGGAGTGTTTTAGCTTGTGCTGAGAGGTTCATAGCTGACTGTGGTATGAGGAGAATGCCCACATACCAGGCTGTTTTCAGGAAGATGGAAGGGGGGGGCACAAAACAGCTTGGCAGGTCAAGGCTGGGCAGCATGTAGACACAGAGGCTTTTATAAATAGTCAATACATAGCGTTAAGGTGCTTAATCTCTCACTTTCCTTTTTCTGTCTCTCAGCTGGTCAACTCCTGAGTTTGCCATTCTCCAATCGGTTTAGCCTTTAAGCGTGTGTGTGTTTGCATGTGTGTGTGTTTCCCATGTCTGTTAAGCCCATGACCTGCTCTCCTTTCACTTCTCCTCATTAGCATGTGACCCCCCCCCCACACACACACACACACAAGTAGGCCAGAGTGAAGGGATGGTGAAAGAGAGGGAAGGAGAAGGAGGAGAGAATGGAAAAGCAGAGTAGAGATTGGCGTGAGACAAAGCGTGATCCAATTTCTGAACAAAGCTTTCCCCAGAGTGTTTACCCAACAAAACATTGTATGGACTCATTATGTGACTTAAAGTCAGTGTAAAGCAAAAATGAATATATGCTCTGTGTTTGCCTCACCACAGAAAAATGTGTTATTATAATAATAATAATAATCTTTATTTATAGAGCACTTTTCAAAAACCAGTTACAAAGTGCTTTCACAATAAAACAATAAAACACATAAAAACAATTACATGCTAAAAACAAGAAAACACTTATAAGACTAGAATACACGTTTAAGATAAATATAAAATATATTTTAATTTAAAAAAAAAAAAAAGTAAAATAAAAAAAAAAATCGGGAAAGGCTCTCCTATTAAATTATGTTTTAAGAAGGGACTTAAAAGAATTCACTAATTATTAACTTATTAAATTTGAATGATTAAAAATAATCTAATAATAAAAATTTAACTGGACCTCACGTGTAGTGAAACTCACATCTGTACCAGAATCTACTCTTTCTTGTGTTGACTTTCCTGTCCTGCCTTGCCCCCTGTAATTCTGTATGAGAAGGCTCACCCAAAGCTAACCCTACCTGTTGTGTGGACAGTGTGGTTCTCAGACACCACCAAAGCCTGGCCCAGCCCTGTGCAGGCCCACCAGCAGGCTGTCGAGCTCTGGCGCTGCATCCTGTTTGTGCAGGTGTCTGTCCTCAGTGACCATCCCATCAGCTGCCCTCTGCCAACCACTGGAGAAAGAGATAGTCCGCTTCAATTACACTAAATCAGCAAAACAATAGAAAACTGCTTCAAAGTCTTTATGCCTCTTTCAGCTGTTTTTGAAATATTGTTTTGTTATGGTTAGACAAGAAGAAGACGAGTGTGCCAGCAAGATTCTCAAGATTGCTTTACTATGTTCATCATTAAGTTGACAATAACATTCTCACCCCAGTGTCCATTTAGCAGCTGTTCTGGAGCTTTAGATCACAACGCAAGCTTTTAAATAATAATGTTCTGTGGTCATAAATCACCACCACATATATTAAAATGCAAAAAAATTAAGACATTTCTGTGATTTAGCCATATTAGTTTGGACATGCACCTAGTGATCTAGTAGACACTTGAAACAAGACTTTGTTCTTTCGAGTGGAGCAGATGCCAGAGTGTGGATGTTAAGGAGCTGTGAGAGCCTTGAGAGTGTGTCCACAAGAATGCATAAGAAAGTGTGTTTTGAGGTCTTTATGAAATTCGTTCGAGTGGTTACTGGTGATTGCTGTGTTTTTCACGACAGACCAGTAACAGGATCTTCCTCTCCCATCACTGGTGAGACAACGGCCGCGGTTCAGAAACATTCACGTGCAGGTTTCTGACTTTGACCCAAATGTCAAATAATCCCTGTGATGTGAGCTAACCACATGAACTGCATGTGGGAATAGTTTCTGCACAGTCTGTTGTTAAATATATATGTCGGTGTGTCTGTGTGTGGGTCTTCAGGACGCCTTTGTGTCTTGTGCTCCCTCTATTTATGAGCTACTGCAGTCGTACATACACAAGGCAAACATGCTCTCATGCGAAACATTTTCCAGTGAGTTGGGTGGGCTTGGTTTTGTTTTTCTTGGTATTCACACATTTTAAAATCCCTTAGGGAAAACTTTAAAAGTCCCAGCCAGAGTTTGCACGCCTGTTTTTGTAGTCCTTTGATTTGGAGATATGTATTTATTTTCCGTTTATCAGAGTAGAATGTGGCTGTTCATGAGTGTGTTGTTAAAGAAGCCAACAACAGAATGAATTTGACCAACCAAACTTCTAGTGCTGCTCTCAACTGTTTGTCCATTTGTTGTTGAGTTAGACAAGAAGACCACTAATACCACTCTCGCGTTTGTACAGTAAACATGTGGCTACTGCCAGCAGCCACTTAGCTTAGCATAAAGTGAGAACTTTAAACTGAGAACAAGATGAAACGGCTACCCTCGCTTTGTTCAAAGGTAAAGATATCTGCCTACAAACACCTCAAAAGTAATTAACATGTTATATCTCATACAGAAGATACAATAGCCTGGTGTCACACTATTAACAGGAGCAGCAGGAGGGGGTTTGTTGAGTAAATAGCCTGATCAATGATAGCCTGAGCTCACATTCACCTGTTAAGGTTCTTGTCTGTTAATTGTGTTTTAATGTGATATTTTTTTCTTCAGCTTACAGGTAAGTGGAGTCAGCTGTATGATGGAGTATGATTCCCTATAATAGGTGTGACTGTGAGCCAGCCTTATGTATATATGTGTGCATGGGTTCATGCTTCCATTCATGTGTGTGCGTAGCTATGCTGCCCAGCCTGGTTCTACACCGTACCTCTGTTCGTCCATACCAGAGGGGTCTCTACTGCAGTGACTCAAGCCTGAGCTACCCATACAAGAAAAGCACCGTCCGTTCCTCAGTGCTTACTACTGTTGGGTTGACACTGCCTGCGGTGTCCGTAAGTCTCCCCCCCATACACAAAGAGCACTCGGTGTTGGGGAACACCAACGGCAGAAACAGGGAGGGCTGGTGGTTTATGATGGTGGCTGTGAAGGAGTGACAAGGCTACATGAGATCTAGTAATGTTCAGAAAAGTCGTCTTTACATAGCTTTTCATTTATGGTGTCAGTTGCATCAGATTTTGGACATCCATCACTCCTTTGCTATAAGCTGACCATACATGGCGTCCTTAAGCCCCACCCACTTCTGCCATATCCCATGATCCCCTATTGCCAGTGTGCTCCTTGTGCCCCCCCTGTTCTCTTCTGTTTATGTCTGTGTCACTGACCTGGTGCTTTTATGCTTTCTTTCTTCTCTCCCTCTCCCTGTCTTTCTCTCTCTTGGCTCCCCTCTTTCCTTGTGCTCTTTGTAGCTAGCCTGCCTTTCCTGATCATTGAGACTAGCACCATAAAGCCGTACCAGCGTGGGTTTTACTGTTTGGACGAGTCCATCCGCTACCCCCGAAAAGAGGGAGACACCATTAGCGATGCCGTGCTTACTGGTGTTGGCATTCTTATTGCCATCTTCTCTGTAAGTCGACCTTTAAACCTCCCTCTGTTTGTTGCTTTTACTCCAATTTAAACTCACTTCTTTTGAACTCTTATGTACTTTAGTCCTGTAGATTAGTCTCACTAACAAAGCCCCTTAATCAAGAAGTTTGAGTGATTTATCATGCAGTATTTTCCAAAATAATCCAGTCTTTTGTTATTAATGTGCTCTATGTCCTGTCCTCTCATTCTATAATGTTTTCATCGTCATACTTTATTCTTCCGTGTTAGCTTTCATCCAAGGCATTTGTAATGGCCTGTTTTTATGACTTTACTAAGCGAGTCAGTTGTAGCGGGATGACCCCCAATCGACATTAGGAAGTGCGTGTTTGTGTGTGTGCTGACGCATGCATGCCAGAGACCAAAGAGATTTTACAAGTTCTTGGTCCATTCTCATACCTCCCACTCGTATCCCTGCACCCTGACTCCATGCCCTCTGTGCCCTGCACATTGCTTCGGGTGAATTGTGTCAGTGCTCTCTCCCATACCCACAGTGCGTCACTGAAAGCCTGAGGCATCTAACCAGTTAGCAACACCATGAATTCTTCATTCCTATGACTTGACTTTTGCTCCAGAGAAGGAATTGCTCTAGTGTAGTGCCAGGAGATTAGAGGGGGGTCAAGTTAGTGCAAACATGTTATAATGACATATGGTGGGCTGTTTGTATGTCAATTAGTGCCACGTGGTCAGGCTAGATGATCTTTACAGCCCCCACACTCTATGTGGCACAGCCCCCTCATAAGTTTCCAGACTGAGATGTTACTTTGCCTCTGGTGGGCACACACACGCACACACACACACCTACACTGTAACAGCTCAGCTCTTCTTCTTATTGGAACCAGTAGACTCTGCTCGTGTTAGTTAGTTCCCTCACATGTTCACGTGTGGGCAAAGCTGGCGTGTCTCACACAGCTGTGTTCCATTTGTGGCGTCTACTGCCATGCCTACACCATTCCTTTAACGCACACACACTTGCGCTCATTCATGTAGACAAACACACACACACACATATATGCAAACATGTACGCGCACTGGTAGCAGATTCCATTTGGGCCTCTTGTTTATCTTCACTGCAAGGGAAACAGTCTCGCTGTCTGACAGGCCGTGTTTTCACTGTGAAGCAGAGTTAGCAATAGTGAAATACTGTTCTATAAGCATACTCATTGATGATCAAAATAAACACATCCGGCACCTATTGAGCCCTCTGCTCTGATCAGAGATGCCTGCTATATCCGTGACAGGCCCTGTCTGCACTTAGACAGCCAGACACATAGGAATAAACCAAGACAAGGAGATAAAGAAGGGGACGAGAGGTTTGAATGCAAATGCTGACAAGCCAAATAAACTTCTCTGGCCTGTATCAGCCTCCTGTGGTTCTAATCTTAAGGTCAGATCAGAACAATTCATTGACAATAGCATACACACACTAATACACCACCATGTTTATTTCTTCTGGCTGTGAGCCTGCCAGCTGACCACTCAATAGGCAGGAAAGGTGTGTTCATTAAGCCTAACAATGCACACACAGTACGTGTAAACACAAACATTATGTATCTGTATTGACTTCATAGGATGTCTGGGAACTCTGAGCCTCAAGATGTGCACACGTTTAGAGTCTTAATGCCATTCACTTTCACAGTGTCTGCTAGCTCAGAGATGGGCAGGTAAATATTTTCCTGAGAGACTCGGTGAGAAGGTAGGCCGAAGACTGAAGCCTTGTGTGGAAAGAGGAAGGAAAGGGAGATGTGGTTAGAAGTGGAGAGCAGCCAATCCGTCAGTCAAATACTCCAGGTGGTACAGATATGATTGACATATCCATGCCTTGAGGGTTAGCTTGGCGTAAGCCCCCTCAGTATAGATGAGGTCTGTCCATGGGCCCTAACATTACTTAAAACCACTTGGCTGGAATGAGGCAGGAATCAGGGTCTGCCCACTTGACTTAAGCCTTATAGCAGACCATTACCCTAATATAAATCGTCCTTATATCAAAGTCAGTCTGACTGAGATATTGACTCAGTCTAGATCCTTGGTTTAAGTTTTTATGTGTTCCTTTTCACTTCACCGTCTCATTATTCTCCATATCCCACATACAAAGCCCCATCTTATCATTTAGCAGAGCATCACCACTCACTCATTAATGATCTCACATCACATCAAAACTGCCTGAGGGAAAGGCAGGCCATGCTCATTCTACATGTTTGTCTGTGTGTGAATCCCACTCATTCTGTCTCTCCTGTTTGTCCTTTATACATCCTTTCTATTCAATCTGTGTCTTCAGTCTGGAATTATTTTAGATATCCTGCATGATACACACTCAAACGCTATTGTTTTTAATGCATGGTTATATGAATCTAAATGTACTGCACGGCTGTAGGACTCAGCAGCATCACTTAGCTAGAATTTGTCTTTTATTTGTGATCAGTGTCATCTGTTTATCTCAAAAAACAATCCTTTCTTTTAGATTGTGATTGGAGAATGCTTCAGGATTCACCAGCTACATGAGGGAACCAAGTCTTTTGTTGGGAATCCCTATGTCGCAGCTCTCTACAAACAGGTCAGCTCTCCAAAAGGGTGCTTTCATACATATTCTGATTATTGTATAATTGACCATTCGCTAAACCCCTCCCCTGAACATTTAAAGAGTTTGCATGGTGACCTTCACCAAAATAAAAGTGTGTGTATTGTATTTAATGTGTTAAACAGTGTGTTTGTCTGTTCACGTAAGCTACAATTGTTAGCATGTCGAGCTACATGCTTACTATCAAGAGAAGTAACCAGTGCTACTTCTGAGGCCAAGGAGCATTTCATACTACATTATTTTGTGGGTTACAGGTTAGGTTGAAAAAAGCTGTCTTGCTCTATTAGATTTTGGAGATGGTGGTACATTCGCCAAACACATCAGTTAGCTCTCATCCTGAAAGCCCTTACTCTTGAAATATTAAGTGAAACATACTGTTTGAAAATACGAACAATAAAGCATAAACCTCACCTTTGTCTTGTAAGAATGTAGCTTAGCATGAAATACAGTCTGATCTTACATTTTTTGTAATCATATAATACTAGGGCTGAATACCTCTGCTCTGAAATATAAGAGCAATGCTGTTAATTGATTTCCATGTCTTCTACATGGATCATCATCTGGTGAGGATGCTGACTTTTTGCCTGGGACATGTAACTTTAGCCTCAGTATTTTAGCATGATATCATGTATTTAGCCAAAGTGCATACTTAAGACCTCTTTACAGGCTTCTCGGTTTAAAATCAGCTGGAAATGTAAAAACAAAAAAATTAAAAGAGACACATTTTAAGCCAGTTCATGAAGCTATCATTAGTGCAATTCGCTAGCGAGTTACAGTTGATTAAATCTGTTAGTATCAGCTGTCACTAGCCACAAAACCAACAATTGCAAGCAAGAAATTAGTAGCCTGCTTTTGTCTACCTACGTTTACGTCTAAAATTAAGGACCTATGTTGTTTCAGAAAGCCACCGCTTGACAGGCTTGGCAACAGTAAATCAGGGGGACAGGGTCAGACTTAACTGACGAGATTGATATATGTCTAATCTTTAATGTGTGTGATTTTGCAGATGGGCGTGTTTCTTTTCGGATGTGCCGTCAGTCAGTCGTTCACAGATATTGCCAAGGTGTCAGTGGGTCGTATGAGACCCCATTTCATAGATGTTTGTAAACCAGATTTCTCCACCATTAACTGTTCATTGGGATACATCACCAACTATACCTGCACTGGTGAAGAGAGTGACGTACAGGAGGCCAGGTTTGTGTGAACACCAATACATCCACAATATACAGTGTATATGCTGTATTAAAAATACTAAACTGAAAAACATGACAAAAGATAATCTTTCTCTCTACAGGAAATCCTTCTTCTCAGGACATGCCTCTTTCTCAATGTTTACCATGCTCTACCTGGCTGTAAGTAACTATTAAACTCTCTTACACATACACCACAAACATTCATTTAAGCACACACATCATGACAGGAACAGAAACAGTGGTTTACAGATTGTAGAGGGAGTCATGGAAAGACAGTTGGGCTGTGTTTGGGGGATCCATGAAGAAAAAAACAAAACACTGTTATCCACTTATCCACTTCTCCTCCTCTTGCTCCTCTGCTTTATCTCCTCACCCAGTTTATGAATAGTTTAATTCTTTTTGTTACTCCTCCGAGAAAGGGATGGATGCACTCCACCTGTTTTCTTCAGAGCAGCTGCGTGTGCACTTCCTGTCCTCTCCCATTTCCCTCAATGTCTCCCTCTCACTCCACCTGTTTTGGGTGTCGGGTGGGGCTTAGCACCCTAGAGGCATTTCATGCACACGCACACACACACACACACACACACACACACACACAATTGCCAACTCATAGCTCGCCTGTCATCTCCCCCCATCTGAAGAGGAGAGAAGAGAGTCAATGTTTTGGGTCTGGCTGGCTCGAGCTTGGTTACAAGGTGGTCTTGGTTCTCAAAGTGGGCTGACAGTTGAAGCTCTGGTGTATGGTTGTGTATGCATGCAGTGTAGTCTTGCTGCGGGTATTTCCCAGCCTCTGTGTGAACCTACAACTGCAGTCTGGTTAGACCAAGGAAAAGAGAGGAGAGTGAATAAAAAGCCTGGAAAAAACAGCGAGGGAAAGGAGATGTGCTGCATCCAGACCACGGAGTAACACACTAGTCCGAGACCAGTGTTCCAGCTGTGGCGAGCTCAGGACCATAGCCAGAGGAGGCTGGTGCAAACAGTCTAACAGAAAGAGTGAAGAGAGCAGATTCAGAGGAGGAGAGGAGGAACAATTTGTAGTTGATGTTTTGGAATACAAAACCATCCTGAATCAAAGCCCACAGTGGTGGCATTCCAAATGGAAAAAGGAATCTGCGGCAATTTTTGTTTTTGCCAGCTGAAAACCATGTGACATCATGTTTTCATTCACAGAACCTCCCACTCTCTTTAAGTCTCCTTGAGTTAGAATTATTGTGTTACCCATGTGTAACTACTAACTGTAACTATTCTTTAAAATGACAAACCATTCATCAAATTTATTATTGATACATTTTCTGACCAATCATTTCTGTACTAGATGCATTAAATCTGAACATCCACTCTGCAGTAAAGTTCTGGTGAAAACAGGTTCTCAAGAAACCATTTTCTACAAGCACTGACAAATCTGCATCCCCTTTCATGGGTACTTCCCCTCAACCTCTGCCCTTGTCTTTGCTCCCTCGTTGCTCACCAAGGTGAAAGTGTCATTTTGTGGCTGTCACCTCACACTCCCTCCCCCGGCCTCCAGTCATTTGCTAATTGGCATTTCATTTCCTGCCAAGCGTGTCTGAGTGCTGTGTCTGTGTCTGATGTGGTTTGAGTTGATACCAGCAGTGTCACAGCCTGAGATGGCACACAGACTGCATGGCACGCTGTAACACCACAGCCACAGAGAACAACTGAGCTATCTTTTGTTAAGTCTAATGTGCACACATCTCTACAGACAAACTATCCGGTAGCAAAGGACTGGGTTATTTCTTTGGGTTTTAAGTGCCTATAAGAATCTTCTGTCACTGAGGCAAATAGCATGTTGTTGGTTAAATAAAAACAATAAGTTTGCTTGTGATATAAATAGTTTTTACCACAACTATGCTTTTGTCTCCCAGCATGGTGTGAACCAGAAGAGGGGAAGGGAAGGGGGCTGGCAGGAAAAACACACTTTCTCACTCGTTTGTGTGTGTTCTGTTTTATTTAACGCTGACTTTGAGTCAGAGCAAGAAAGCCAGAGAGAGAAGATCTCACTGGAATGAGCTGGATTCCTTTACAAACCACCAGACTTTGTGTCGCTGTTGTCTCTCTCTGTCATGGGAATCAGCTGGGACTCTTTTTGTTGTTGTGTTTTATTGTTGTTTTCTTTAGATCTAACTATTTGAGACACACAGCAAATTTCTGGGAGGATGGCTTGGGTCAGAAAGGCAGATGCCTTTCTGCTGCAGTCTAGTTAAGTCTGGACTGTATTTAAAGAGGAGAGAATTAATTTCGAGATTTTAGGTCATTAACCTTTCTAAATCGCTTATCATGACTTTATGTGCATGCTTCACCGGAATCAGGCTGAGACGGGTTATTTGGGTCTACTCCCTGCCCTTCAGTCAGACAGGGCGGTGTTGATTGGCAGGTCATCGTAACTCTGTGTTTTGGCTAAGTGCAAGTGCTGATTCTTCCTCCTATATCCTCCATAAAAGCATTCTTAAAATTGAGAGGTTTAGGATGTTGTGCAAAGGGTTTTTCGGATGTTGCATTCATGGCTGCAGAACTTTAGACAAAAGTACTTATCAGTAGTCCCTGCTCGCTACCTGAGAACCACTGCGGAGGAAGCCTGAAGTTTAAACATCCCTGCCAGGGAGGAGAGAACAAGACTGGAAGGGATGGGAGGGATCACTTCCTGTGCTTCCGTAAGGAGGAGAACAATGATAGAGTCGTAAAGGAAGTGCGAGGGAGCTTTATGTCCGCACAGGGGCTCGTAGTGGACTGGGATTGCTGGGAGGCGTTGTGGCTGTCTGTAGGTATTGTTAGCCCAGCTGATTATAAGACACACGTCTAGAGGTTTTGGGCTGGGCAGACCTTGGCTGAGGCCCTAACAGACCTCTGGGTGTGAGAGACGGGAAGTTAAGGGTATGAGTGGTGCAGAAACGCAGGATGTCTGAGGAACCTGGGCTGATCTCACCACCGTGCATGTATGTCGGTAAAAAGAGAAAGAGGCTGTCCATGTATTTACATTGGCCTTGGACCTAGTTGTTCCTGTTTTGGCTCTTCTCAGTCTTTATCGTGACAAAGAAAAAGGTTTTTGGTTGCAGGGGGTGCATCCGCTTTGTCTATTTACTCTAATAGAGGGTAGAGAGTTCATCCCAACAAAGTGCAGGGTATACGTGTGTGTGTGTGTGTGTGTGTGTGTGTGTGTGTGTGTGTGTGTGTGTTCCAGTGGCGCTCTGTGGTCATGTTGTTTTTACAGCTGGGATGTTGAACCATGAATCATTCATGTCCGGGTCTCAGGCAGTCAAGTTTGTAAGTGTGTGTGTGGAAGAGAGGATGTGTTTCTTTGCGTGTCTGGCCAGCCTGCCCTCTTTTGATTCAGTCTAGGCCTCTCAGACAGTAATAATACACACACACACACACACACACACACACACACACTGCAGGTGCAACAAATGTTAAACGTAATGACTTTTATGAAAATGTCTAGCCTGGTGTGTGTGAGGGTTCAGGTCATTACTGGCATCAGAAAGGAGTGACAGTGTCATTGATAATGCCATCAATAACATGATGTGGGTTACATGTTTTACATCATATACATCTTGTGTGTCCTTTACACAACACTGTCCATATTAAATCATGCTGTGTGTCTTCTCTTCTCTTCCCAGTTTTATCTCCAGTCCAGATTTACATGGCGTGGCGCTCGTCTCCTCCGCCCACTGCTCCAGTTCACCCTGTTGATGATGGCTTTTTACACCGGCTTATCTCGTGTCTCCGATCACAAGCACCACCCGACTGATGTCCTGGCAGGCTTTGTGCAGGGAGCCCTGGTGGCATACTGCATAGTGAGTGCACACATGTCATTGAGAACACATAAATTTAACTTTATTAGGTGCACCTATTCATACAAACTTTATGAAAACATGCGTGATGTGAGCATGAATTAATACCTAATATCTTTTTGCATCTTAATACTTTTTTACAAGTGGGGGATCCTACAGAAGCTCCAACCTTCGAATAACGTTTGCCTCCGCATAGCTCTCTCTTTTCACTTCACTTTTTCTGAAGAGAACGGGAGCTGGCAGCGTGAGGAGAATCTGATTCCCTTTAATGAATAACACATTGCTTGGAGCCAGGCCCTAGTCCAGGAGTGTGCGTGTGTCTACGTATTAGTGCGAATCCATACTCTGCAACCTTCTTCACTACTTTTGTGACATATTGCCACGGCAGTTGCCAGATGATTTTTGTAACCCTCATCATTACACTAAGCTAGACGGAGCCAAGGAAAATTGAATTTGGGTCAAGAGGAAAAAAAGAGGCAGTGTAAAAAGAGAGTGAGTAGGGAAAGAGAGAGAGAGAGAGAGAGAGAGTATTAGCCTTTGAAACAGGAATGAGGCTGTTAATTATTGTGGGGTTTTTTATTTGGCGGCTCTGGTTCAGCACAGCAGGCCCCTGCTAAACTCTGCTGCCTCTGGGAAAAGTATGGAAAGACACACTCACACACTTGCACATACACATACACACACACACAAGCAACCCTTATCTTTCTACATGATCCAAATCATAAAGGTGGAAAGGATTATATGCATAAAATTTAGCAAGAACTTAGTTGTGGCTCCTAGGCAGACCTTGGCACTGCTAAAATGCACATGCACACACACACACACACACACACACAACATGGGTGCCAGGAAGAGCTGAATCCTGAGTAAAAAACAGCAAGTTACAATAGACTGTATTGCTCTGGCAAAATCAGTGCTCCTCCAGCTGGGCGAAGCTCCTGGATGACATCAGTTTTGACAAGGAAAAAAAAAAGCCTCTGGATGGGCAGATCTGGCAGGAGGAGTGATGGGAGGGAAGTTACAGGAGAGAGGAGCCGTGTCTACAGCTTGGCTCAGGGATGAGCGTGTGTTAAATCTAACACAGCTATTCCACAACCCTCAGAGAGACAGCTTACGTACACGTAGACAAAATGTCTACGTCCATGTGCATACACGCCACATATTTATACATGCACACACACACACACGTAGTCAAACCCCTGGCGATCTAGGCGGTCAGGTTAGTTTTACAGTCCTTGACGCCCCTTTTGAATTGCCCAGTCTTAGTAGAAACACACATCTGTGAATAATTTAGCTCGGCTGTTTCAGCCTATCAATAAGCGGCGGAGCACATCGGAGCTGACAGGAGATGAGTGGAGGCAGGACAGAAGAGGTATGAACCTGAGTGCCTCAGAAAAGCCAGCAGAAAAAACTAAATCCAAGTGTGAACATCTTTAGGTCTTAAGTTAACAAGTGCAGGCTCCATCATTATTCTTGAAATGTCAGAACGAAAGCACGAGTTCACTTCTCTACTTAGATCTACTACCTGTCGCTTTGGTGCACAATGATTGCTGTTTATATGTATGGCTTTATGTGAAGGTCATGACATGACAAAAGTTTTGAGGTTTTTCTTAGCGTACCCCAGTGGTCGTAGCAGCAGCTGTTATTGGAGAAATATTGTCTCATAAGATGTTTTCATGAAGCAGAAACAGTGGATTTTTAAGAGCCCCATGGCAGCCTGGGTAATGTGTTCCATTAATCCAGCCTGAGCTTGTGTACATGCATGAAAGGAGCAGTGTCCAAACACAGACAGTGGACTTGTCTTCGATACAAAAGTCTGACGGAGAAAAAGAGAGCACATTGGGCAAATTAGAGGATTAGCACGTCAGTCCCAAGAGTGCGATTATGACCAATTGTTCTGAATCTCACATGTTGAGTTATATGGCCTTGTGGAAAGGTGACTTCCTTCCAAATACATTTCAGTAATTGTCTGTGTTGCTCCTTGACTTTATTGTCACTGCTATTCCAGGTGTCCCTAGACTACAGTTACCACTTAAATCACAGTGTACCCCCCAGTGCATGCCTGGAAATGAACAATACAAACCAAGTATGGACACATTCATATGTAGTGACGTGTTAGACTGTGGCCTTGTTGCCTTTGTTGCAAGTTAATTGATGCTTTACAGCCCTTTGTCAGCCCACATTTGATGATAGATGGTGTCTGAGCCGGATAAATGAAGTCTAGAATGTGTAGATTAATCTCTTGAGTCAAACACTTCAGACTATGTCTGCGGGGCTGTGATTCAGAGAATCAGGGAACCACCACAGGAAATGGTCCGTCCATCCTACCTGGCACTTCCTATCAGACACAGTGACCTACTTTTCAGCATGTGTCGTAGTAAAGGTCAAGAGTATCGAATCCAACAGGAAGCAGCTGTCAGAGAGAAAGCTGGGGCAGAGGCCATTTGTTTTTCGAAGGTTCATTGTCACAGTGGAGAGGAGTTGGGTCAGGCGTTAAAGGAGGAGGGGGCAAGAGGTCGCTATCTTTCACTCGCTCAGATTTAAACATACAAGGACATGCTGCACATACTCAGGGTCTCAAATATTGAAGCAGTGTCTGTGTGGTCAGTGAACTGGAAGCAGGATGTCATATTTTATTTACAAAATGTTTTTAGTTTTTTTAAATCTAAATTTACCATGCTGTCAGTTAACACATACAAAGTAGTTTATTTGAAAATTCGCACATAAACAGTAATACACATTGTGACATGATAACATTAGAGAAGAACTCCAGGCCACATGAAAAATCCTTCTGATAGGAAGGGTTTTGACTCCACAGTTAAACAGCCGCAGTATACAATGGAACCAGTACAAAAAATGTCCGCAGATGCAACTCTGACTGAATACAGAACAATGCCAAAAGAAAAAGGTTGCTATACATAAAAGAGAAAATATTTACTGTATTAAACCCTTATGAGCCCATCTTACTCCCTCAGCTTTAACATTCACAGAGCCGTAGCAATATAATTCTGCAGCCATTAACACCGAAGCAATTCCTATAAAGTTTCACTCAGTGGGTTAAGATATAGATTTAGCAAAACACATTTGTGTAAATGCAACAGTGTATTGTGTGGTTAGGCTGCAACTATAGTCATAGGTGGTTTCATATGCGTGCAAACAAATTCACCATTTATTTGGGGTCTAATGAGTGGTTTTTTTAGACATTCACAGTTCCTGCAAGTTAGTGCCTTCACTTCCTGTGTGACTCAGCGTCTTTATGTGTCGGGCTTGCCTACACACAATTAGAAGCACAAACTCACGCACACATATACATATATAGTATATGTAGCAACAACAGGTGATTCTCAGAGATATGACTGCACATCATATCCCCATGCACTCCCCTAATTATATCATATATGAAATCCCATGTAAAGATACTGCACAAACTAATGACTGTATAGACAAAGGGCCCTTTTAAAACGATGGGAGCAGCTGTGTGTGATGTATGTTATCTACGTGTGATGTCATCCATCAGTCAAAGGTCACCAGTGAAGGTCATTTTATGCTCAGTAAATGTCAAGCTGCAATAGAAGAGAATGTCCTTGTGTTGAGTACACCACTCACAATGAGACAGCCTTTATTTTATAAATAGATCACTGACTGTATGTCCACCATTTTTCCAGAAAACAGCAAAAGATGAACTCTGAACTGGCCACTATGTGTTTTTCCCAAGGACATTCCCGTATGAGAGCACCGTGTATTTTCCCAGTGTATTTGCTCCAGTGAGATTTATCCATATTGTTTTCCCCCGAGGAGCAGGAGCACAGTGGGCTCTCTTTCTCAGAGTTTAGTAGTGAATGGCAGCCTCTCCCCTCGGCCCGCCCTCCCCATCTCCCTGGCACAGTCCCTTTGTTCGCCCTCGACTGGCAGCACGGAAGGAAAAGCTTCTGCGCCTGCCAATTACGTGTATGTGTATTTGTGTGTATTAGCCTGCAGCTGAAGTCACTGTTGCTCATGAATGACCCCAGACCCCTTTAAGTGGAAACGACAATCTACTGTTACAGTGGACAGTAGTTTCCATGGTCCCACTTCCTGTCCACCCCTGCCCATTTTCCTGTTTGACATATGATGTCATCAGGATATAAGGAAGAGATTTCTTTTTTTTTTCTCTCTTTCTCTCTCTCTCTCTTTCTTTCTTCGTTTGCCGCGAGTGCCTGCCAGACTGACCTCACAGTTGAAGTAAAATGGGAATTCACCCGATCTTTTAGGAGAAGATTAGCAAGGGTTCATGCTTAACTAAATTTGATTGTCAGTTTAGCGTGATCTTAAATAACATCACTTCCTCCAGCCAGATTACTCAGTGCGGCAAGTCTGGGATTGAATAAAGTGTGGCGGTGTGAGGCGAGAGGGAGTTTCTCATCATGGCGTTGTGAAGTAATGCAACGTTCATTCACACAGCTCCCCTGCAGATAAAAGAACTTGTGCGTGCATATGCACATTACAGACCAGCCATGTTTTATCCAGACTGTTTGCAGATCCAGCTAAGAGGTGCACCTGGTATTAAATTAATATAAAAAAATTTTGAGTCAAGATTTTTAAGATTTTTTAAATCAAATTTCACCTGTGCATTTACATTAGATTTTTTTTTTTATATCAAGAAAGTATGACTGCTGCTAATCTGAGAAAAAAAAACATGTTTGAGCGAAGCCTTATAGCTAAAGAACAGACATGTGGGGATTATTTGGTAACTTGGTTCATATAAACAAATTACAAAACCGGACACACACGTCTAAATAACCATTTCCATATTCTCCAACAATCTGATCCCATCTTTATTTGGTTTGGGATAATTTTTTCCTTCTCTTTTTTTCTGCTGATTCCTTATGTCCTCTCTGTTTGCTGTTTCCTCACCCCGCTCTCCCCTATGTGTGTCCACCAGGTGTTCTATGTGTCAGACCTGTTTAAACCCCGGGTGAAGCCAGCCACGCCCCCGCCCTCCCCCATCAAGAAGGAGCTGCTCCCTTCATCCGACATCATTGACAGGAACAACCACCACAACATGGTGTGAGAGAGGCGAACAACTTCTTCCTGTGACTGAGGAGCCAATCACAATGCTGCTCACCTCCCATCGGACAGTAGAATGTAGCGACGAGAGACTGTAGCTGCTTCTCAAATGGCATCCTCCATCCCTTTTACGGTGCCCAGCGTGGCGCTTTGTGGATGAGGGTGTCAGATTTGAGATTTGCACAGCAGAGTCCACTCTCACTATCCAGACTTATTATTTACCATTATGTTAACTACTAATCAACTTTTGAGCCCATCGTTTTGAGCACAAACAGAAAAGAATTTGAAGCTAAAAGACGAAATGAATTAAGAAATTGATGACTTGACAGGCAGAGCTGAGGGTGTGGAGGTTTGATGGGGAAAACACTTGTGAATAAAGACAAAATAAGAAGAGACAAAAAGACATTTAAAAAAGACAAACCCCCTGCCTAGGGAGAGAAGGATTTCCAGTGATGCTCCCTCTCTGAACTCTCTGTGGCCTTGGATCGCCGTAGGACAACAACTTCCTTAGCTACGGGGAAGGATATTACTGCAATAAATAGCAGCATAGAAATATTAACAGTATAGAAAAATATAACTTATAGCACTGTTTTTAAGTTCATTGTCCATTATCACCACTTGCTGCCTGAGATGTCTAACTGGAAGAAAACTTGATGATGCTGACATCCACGAGACAAAAATATGAACTGCTAGAAGCCGACTGAGCCTGGTGTGGTTAGCATAGCATGGCTTTAATAACATTAACCCTGTACCAGGCCACTGTAGGGATCATATACTGATCTTCTTAGACCTGTATAACAGGTTTCAGAGTAGTCCTTTGGCTGTCTGTGAAACTTTTGACTGATTGGCAATACATCAGTGACCCAATAAACTGTGCCTCCAATCTCAAATATTTCTGTCTCCAGATCAGCATGTCAAGCTTTCTGTAGTGGACTTTCAGAGCAGCCCAAACCCGGGATGTTGCATTTCTTGAGGGTTAGATGTAGTAAAGGTAAATTTTCTGTGGAAGGAGGGAGGCAGATCTCCCAGCCTCCCAGCACCAGTATAAGAGGTGTGGCTGTGCCATGCCACTTCCTGGTGTTTGGGCCATCTGTTTGACTTCCTAAACAGGAAGGGGATGGGTGGGCAGAGTGAAGGGGTGCGGTCTGTCACCATGGAAGGTGGGTGATGATTTTACAGCAAAGCTGGCACATTATTTTGGGATGATTTGGGCTCTTTCTGCTGGCAGGGAGGGGCTCCCACCCACCCAATCACTCATTGGCGATGGAGTTTTGTCTCTTAGTGTGTGTGTATGTGTGTCCTGTGCTCTCCTGTGCTTGCATGGGTACGCTTGTGCTTGTACATGTACATCTCGTGTGTGTGAATTTGTGTGTACATGTATGAGCCCTGTTGATAAACTTTGTGTGTGTCAAATGAAACACACACACAGTCAGCTGTGCCAAGGGTGTGCGTGTGTGTGTCTGTGTGTCTGTGTGCCACTGTGTGTCAGAGCAAGTGAGCAGGTGAACATTAAAAAACTGTGGATCTATAATTTTTATTCTCTGCTAAGGAGCATCTTTAACCTTGTATGTTTATAGCCTGTCCTGTATAATCACTAACAGTTGTACAGTACAGATACAGAAGCCCTTTTTTTTTACAGCCTACTCAGATATCCTCCAACAACACACTCCGCCATGTTGCACATCTTTCTCATCGTATAGTCCGTCCTATCATTTCACAATGCCGTTTTCACTCTGTTTTTATAAATATATAAATAATGTATAGATCACTAAAATTAACTCTGTAAGATATCGTTTCTTAACATGTTTAGATATATCCACTATGATTACAGACCTGTGTTCTATACAAAATGCTGCTTAAAAAGCATCGATTGAAAGATTTTGTATCTAGATAACTAAACTATTGTAGGTTGTAATAGTTATGTTTGTAATACACGTTAAAAAATACACCCTGTATTAAAGTTCAATATTAGTATTTTTTTATTGTCTCGTTTTTTGTACAAAAAGACATAGTTGCAATGCTGTTTTTTCTGCTAAATGTACTTAGCTCTAATACATGTGCTTTTAAATAAAAAGCTCATTATGAACACAACTTTGGCTTGTCTTGACTGTTATTCCATCACTTTGAATGCAAGTTTTGAAGATGTTAGTTTTGTATGGTTTGATGGATTTTTGTTGTTATTGTTTGCTCCTGGAAATGATCCAGTTGCTTTCCCTATACATAAGAAAGCTGCACACAGTGAAGGCAGCCACTGGTGGAAGCTTAAGTGCATTTACTCAAATACTGTACTTAATTACAAATTGGAGGTACTTTATTTCAGTACTTCAATTTTACATTTATTCATTTAGCTGGCAGCAATTGCTATATAGATCAGAGGTCGCACGCCTTTGGAGCAACTAGGGGTTCAGTATCTTGCCCAGGGACACATTGGTGGATGTGTCACAGTAGGGAATTGAACCCAGGTCTCTCACACCATGTGTTTTATCCACTGGCCATCACCACCACTTAATTTTGCTTCACACCTTTACTCCACTACATTGCAAAGGGATCAGCCACAACAATATATGAATTATGAGAATAAAACATATGATGATAATGTAAAATAAGTACATTTATCTGACAGTCCTTCTGTTCTTGTTCTTAATCAAGATTGTTCTGCAGGAATTTAACTTGTGAGGAAGATTTTATATATTGTGATATTGCTACTTTTACACACCGTAAATAAAGGGTCTAATTTTCACAACTGCTTAAAATAGTACTAATTAATGTAGAAGCTGCAGAAGAGATTTTTTTTCTCTTGGCCTCACCATGGCCTTAGTTCCTTTTGTCAAAAATACCACATGAAATCCAAGTGTAATGACACACACACTGAAAAAGGGCCCAGAAGTGTGTGTGATTTCACACTCTGGCAGACTAGAGGAGCTGGCGTCATTGTGTGTGTGTGTGTGTGTGTGTGTGTGTGTGTGTGTGTGTGTGTGTGTGTGTATTTCAAAGTAAAAGAGCAGAACTGCCACCATGGTTTATGATTCTGACTTATACAAGAAGTGTCATTTTCTCCACCACAGCGTGTTTGAACCAAGGAGAGAAAAGCCTGAATGACACATCTCAAGTGTTTATCGGCTTCAAAATCACTGTGTTTAATCCAAAAGCTACACTGTAATCATGCACAGCCCACCATTTGAACTGCATGTCCACATAATGGTATTCAGTATTTAACATACATATATTTAAAACTTGTAAAAATCTCCAAGTCTAAGCAGATCTGTTACGTGACCCACAAGTTACTGATGTATTTTTATAGTTTGGATGCAAGCATGACAAGAAAGGAAGAATGAAAAAGAAGAGAAAGAAAGAAAGAATGCCTCTGACAAGAGCCTCTAGCAATGAACGACTGGTACTTGCTATGTTAGCTATGTGTGTAAAAAGGCCATCATTGAGGGCAATCATTTGACTGATGTTATCTTTATGGTGGCATGCATGTTTCCCCTTAGTGTGCTGTAAAGTGCAGTCTTTTTATTGACAGTGACAGTACAGCTGGTCTGAGGTCAGTTGTAAAAAAACAGCACCAAACTGAGATTTACGGAGCCTGTGAACAGCTGTTAGGCCTGGGGTCAGCCATGCGTGGCTGTAATAGTAGAGGGCCTGCTGCTGAGGCAGAGAGAGGCCCATGTTGTGGTCTTGTTTGGCAGCAGCAGAGCTGGCACAGGGCCTTCACAGGGAGGCCAAGGCATTACATAGTGCTGTACCTCTCTCAGTGTGCTGGGTGTGCATCCTTCATCATCACATACAGGACAGTACATCCACTTCGTCTGTTTACTCTCATTTATTTCTGTGAATTTATGTGAAGCTGATGTTTCCTTCGTCTTAGTGTCCAAACTTGGGTAAAAAAAACAACTAGTTTCAGTTGGCATGTGAAAACCTTGTAACTCCTATGTTTGTGATGTTGACATTTTAACACAAGTTGGATGGATTACGTCCTCCTCTGTGGGCTGAGAAATTCCTCCACCCTTGGTCTTATAAAAGCCTTTCAAAAACCCTTTGGATAAACTCAGAAATGCATAGCGGTCATGTTAAAAACAAGGCTGTTTTCCCTCAGTTTACATTTTGGAGATACACAGTTTTCACCACACACCAATGGTTATGCAAATATGACGATGAATAAATTGAATAATGCAACATAAGTTAGTAATAAAGCTAATTAAGCAACATTTTTGATGCACTTAAATGTGGAATAATAAATTTCTTTTGACGGCTGGTAAGTGTCAGCAGCAAGTTAACCCCGTTCTGCTCAACTGGACTTTGTTAGAGATTCCAACATAATTGCTGTGGAAAACCTTTCCCTTTTGAGAAGAAGCCCAACAGATTGATAACATATGTATCCACATGCCATATGGCTGAATAAGGACAGGGGTGAATATCACACTCACAAAAGCAATAGCAAAAGGTATGTCACAAGCAAGAATGCAGCCGTTAGTATTGGCAAGTGTGTGTTTTAGCTTGTGTTTAGCTCAGGATCAGTATGTGTGAAAGTGGTTAGTGTGGCTTTCAGCTGGCGATCCAGAACAAGGCTGACTAACAGACTTTTTTTCTTGTCATGTAGTGGTTGTAGTCAAAAAGCCCTAAGTGAAATGGCCCACTGGCACACATGATATAAAAAGCATCATGGCATAACAAGAGTGCTACTGTAGGTGGCTCTGGTTTGGCTTGAATGTTGTGAGTGAGCATTTGTGAGAGAGAGATGGGGCTGGGTTGCGGCGACGGTGGCACCTCCAGGAGAGCCGTCTGGAGGCCTGGAGCTCTGAGCTCTCTTTTTTCTGCAGCACAGTCCAGTGAGAAGAGAGGCTGCTGTGCCAGAGGAAGCATGCACGCTGGCCAGAGGAGAGCCAGCGGAGAAAATCAGAGGAGAGCAGTCTGCGCTGGGCTCTGCACTTCCTTTAGGGAAGCACAGACTCGCAGTCAATGGTTTCCAGTATGGCAGTGTGTGTGTCAGGTTTGTTGCACACATGAGGTGTGTAGACATAATATGACCTGCCCACAGGACACAAAGAGGGCCAAAAAGGAAACCTGTATGCAAGAAAGAAAGAAAATGAGAAAGAGCTGGTTTCATATGAGATTTCCATCTTGAAAACATGGAGAAAGATGGATGAAATGAGTGATAAAAATAGCAACAGTTTCTTCCATCACTTGGATATCTGTTGTCTCAGACAGAGCTTCACAGAAGGAATAACTCATTTACAAAAACAGATACATTGGAAAAATGGAGCAGCATATAAATACTGTAAATGAAAAGAAGACTGATTTTGTTAAGTATTAACCCAGTTTTTGGTAAATCTACTGTGATTAAAAGAAGGACATGTTAGGGTGCCGGATGCTGGTATAAGTCAATAGGCACATGTGTAGGCGGCAGGAGGATTAATATTTAGGATTAGAGCCATGTTTTTATGATGATGATCCTGTATGAGAACACTACTGTCTTTGTATTCGCTCGGGAGATATTTTGGAGCTTTTTGATATGAATGAAACCTCATTCCATTGAGTGTAAAAGGGAGTTAGAAATCAATCTGTTGTTAACTGTGACAGTCAGGAAGGCTGGATTAACCTATTTCATGTATTCCGATTTTAAATGGGAGAGTCCATGGCTCTGTGGATGTCTGCCTGGTGAGCCACAACTTTGGTTCAGACTGAAATATCTCAATAGCTATTAGATGGATTGCCATGAAATTTTGCACAGACATTCTCCAGAGGATTAATCCTATTTACTCTGGTGACTTTTCATCTAGTGCCACCAGCAGGCCAAGGTTTTCAGGTATCCAGTAAAATATCTCAAGATCTGCTTGGCACACATTTTGCAAATACATTCATCATTCCGAGATGATGCATCCTAATTATTATGGTGATCCCCTGACCATTCCCTTTGGTGCAACCATGAGGTTCATATTTGTGATTTCAAGTGAAATGTCTCAACAACACTTTCATGTCCCCCTCAAGAGCAAAAGTAAACCATTTTCTCCAGCTATCATCAGATGAAAATTTAAATTTGTCTGATACTTTGGTTTATAACAAAATAATCTCTACATATATCTGCATATGCAGAAACTGTAGGCATTGTAGAATTTTGAAGCTGTTTGTTGCAGGTTTGTAGTCTGACCAATCACAATTGAGCGGACTTTGGCTGCATGCTGGCAAACAGTCCATGTGGAGTGCAAAAGAGGCGGAATGCATTGTCCAAAATGCTTTTTATCAATCATGGAACCAAAGAGATTAGCTTTTAAAAATGTATCTGCATTCAAATTGTTGTCAGACAAAAGCTGAACGATTCCTAGATTGATAATTGGAAACCACAAGTCTTGGCTGGATATCCATTATACGTCGTCCCCAGAGGCTAAATCGCTGTCAGATGATGTCTGATGGGTTCTGAAATTGATAACAAAATATCTGTAAATTTAATCAGGCAGTCCCATAAACTTCAGCTGCATTTTGTAGTTAGTGCTAATTGGCATCCAGTCCAAAGTGGACGTAATTCAAATGTTAGCTAATTCACTGTATTTTCACTGTTTACATTCACAGCTCAACAATTACTGAGTAGAGCAATCTTAAATAGACCTTTAAGATTTGCAGTTTGAGAGTCTTGTTTCTGAAATGTAACGACTGTATGAACATAAAAACTAATTGCACACTTCACACATAACAGCATTATCCCTGTGTGACATAGTGTCTGTGCATGGGTGGTGAGCTGGATGGAAAAAGAGGGAGAGGAGAGTGAAGGATAGAAAGTTAATACATTTCACAGATGTTGGCTGTATGTAGGGGCAACAGGTGATTATGTCATCTTCACATAAACGGGCTCTGTGTCCACCTACTCTCTTACTCTCTGTTGCTCTCACATCCACAATTTCTCTCCAACAAGCCTTTCGAAGCCCTATTTCCCAACTTGTCTACAAACAGATTTGTGCTTCGACTTTATTCACTAACCTAAATCCCCACCTTTAAGTTGGGACTACATCGAATCTTCCTACATTACATTACTTCTGTGTCTCCCTGTATGGAAAAGACATCTCCCCCCTCCCATCAGTCCCCTCATGGCCCATATG